CAACTGGAAACGTCAGCTCCAGTATCGGTATTTCTTACTATCTCATACAGATTATTAGGTGCTTAGACAGAGCGAGACATATGGGTTACACTGCACAGGAGGTGCACAAAGCAGGATCAACAGTAGGTTTGAAATTAGAGAGGTCCATTCGTTTGTCTAATAACAGCGGAGAAGAAGCTGCTCTTGAATCTGATGGTGATGCGTATGTTTAAATTTCTGTATCGTTTGCCCGATAGAAGGGGTTGGAAGAAATTATAATAGTGGGAGGGGTCTTTGATGATGTTGACAGCCTTTCTGCAGCAGCAAGCCGTGTAAATGGATCCCATGGATGGAAGGTTGGCTTCTGCAATGGTCTGGGCTGTGTACACCCTCTTCTGTAGTTTCTTACAGTCCTGGGCAGAGTAGTTACCATACCAGGCCGTTATGCACCCGGACAGGATGTTTTCAGTGGTGCATCTGTAGAAGTTGGTGAGGGACCTTATGGAGATGCCAAATTTCCTGAGCTGTCTGAGGGAGAAGAGGTGTTGTTGTGCCTTCTTAACTGTCACATCTACGTGGGAAATCCAGGACAGGTTGTTGGTTATTGTCACTCTGAGGAATTTGATGCTCTCCACCCAGGCTTTGTTGGTGTAGATGGGGACATGTTGTCCACTCCACTTCCTGTAGTCAACGATCAGTGCTTTAGTTTTGCTAACATTGAGAGAGAGGCTGGGATGCTCTTCAGAGAATTGGTGTGGACCCGATGGGCTGAATGACCTTCTTCTACACTGTAGGGATTCTTTGACAATCCCTAATAATTCAGTTCTTTTCCAAATGTGAGTTAATCCTGTCCCTAAAACTCGTCTCCAATAATTTCTGTACCATGGGTATAGGGCTCACCAGCCTGTAATTTCCTGGATTATCCCTGTTTCCCTTCGTAAATGAAGGAACAACAATGGCTATTCTCCAGTCTTCTGGTACCTCAGCTGCGACTAAAGAGGATACAAAGGTCTCAGTCAAAGCCCCTGCAATCTCCTCTCTTACTCCCTTTAGGATCCTGGGATTGAGCTGGAGAATTATCTACCCCTAATGGTTTCCAAACCAATCAACACATCCCACTTCTTCTTAATTATCAACATGCCCCAGAATAACAAGATAGCCCTCCTATCATGATCTCTGTTCTTGGTAAACACTCATTAAAGACCTCACCTTGTTTCTGCAGCTCCACACACAAACTCCCTCTTTTGTCCCTGAGTGGACCTACCCTTTCCCTAGCTACCCACTTGCTCCTAATGTACCAATGAAATGACTTGGGACTTTCCGCAATGCTACTTGCCAAGGACATTTCACAGCCTTCTTTAGCCTTCTGATCCCATGTTTGAGCTCGTTCCTGCTTCCTTTATATTCCTCTAGGGCTCTGGTTCATTTCTGCATCCCCCCCTCCTCGTCTCTTGAACCCAGGGATCACTGGACAGTGATCAGGAGCAAGAACCCTGTCTCTCGAGCCAATTTTGGATCTGTCCTCTCTCTGTGTTATTTTAACATTGTGGTGCTCCGAGCTGTCCTAGCTTTGAGCTGGATGAGTTTAGTGGATTATCGACATGGATTGAGTGGGATTACAGATGGAGTCAGTTTGTTATCTGCCTTACTTGCTGACTTGTCTCTGCGCTTTGGAAAGCGGCAGCGACAGTATTTCCCACTGTCCCCTGATGTGCCTGTTGGCCCGAGCACAGAGCCATTCCTAATCCCTGACGGAGCAAGCAACATTGATCCCGGATTGGCCAAGCCGATCGTCTTCAGCTCTAGCCTCCAGGAGTTCTGCCCGTGCCCTTCTGCTCCCGTTCCAGGCTGTTCAGCCCATCTACTCTGCGCTGCTGTTTGAAGAGGGTGCGCCCTCTCTCATGTGCACGGTTGGGGTGGTGGCTCGACTCTCAAATGCTCGCTCCTCCACAGCCTGCCTCCCCTCGCTGAGCGACCGTGCAGCTGCGCTACCACGCAAGTGAGCAGGAGGTGGGTCACCTTTCATAAGACCATAAGAAACAGCAGCAGGAACAGGCCATTCGGCCCCATCGAGCCTGCTCCCCCATTCTATAAGATCATGGCTGATCTTTCTGTGGCCTCAGCTCCACTTATCCACCCTCTCACCATAACCCTTAATTCCTTTACTGTTCCAATATCTGTCTTTGCCTTAGAACCATTTAATGGGGAAGCCTCAACTATTTCATTGGGTGGGGAATTCCACAGATTCACAACCCTTTGGGTGAAGAGGTTCCTCCTCAACTCACTCCTAAATCTGCTCCCCCTTATGTTGAGGCTATGCCCCCCCCCACCAGCTCTAGTGTTACCCACCAGTGGAAACAACCTCCCTGCTTCTACCTTATCTATTCCCTTCATAATCTTATATGTTTCTATAAGATCCACCCCCCAACCAATTCTTCTAAATTCCAATGAGTATAGTCCCACTTTCTTCTCATAAGCCAGCCCTCTCAACACTGGAATCGATCTAATGAACCTCCTCTGCATCCCCCCACCCCAGTGCCAGTACATCCTTCAGCCCAACTTGTGTGTGACTGGAGAGTTTAACACACAGGGCAGGTCAAGGAGAGGGGGAGAGGGGAGGAGGGGGGAGAGAGAGAGGGGAGGGGGAGAGAGAGAGAGGGTCAAAATGCTAGGGCTCAGAGCACGATAAGGAGAAAGATCACAGTTTTCTCTCCCTGGAAATCAAGCTCTGCGAGACCAGTGTGACTATAGGGAAGGTGATGGCCTAGTGGTATTATCACTGGGTTGTCAATCCAGAGAGCCAGGTCACAATCTGGGGACCCAGGTTCAATTTGAATTCAATTAAAATTAGAGTCTAGTTGCCGCCCCTGGGCAATTAGGGATTGGCAATGAATGCTGGCTTAGTCAGCACAACCCTGTGAAAGAGACAGAGTGAGGGAGGATATGCAAGGGATAGAGAGAGCGAAATAGAGGCAGATGGAGAGACTGAGAGCTGCTGGGGAGGGGGAGAGAGAGAGAGAGAGACCGGCATTGAGAAAGGGAGTGAGAGAGTCTGAGAGCTGGAGAGAAAGACAGAGTGAGTGAAAGAAACAAATCGAGAGGTTATCAGGTTGAAGAGGGAGTGAGTGGCCTCTCGGTTCCTATACTCAATGGACTGACACTTTGGAGTTTAGAAGAATGAGAGGTGATCTTATTGACTGGGGAGATGGGGAGGGGTTGTTTTCCCTTGTGAGAGAGTTTAGGGCCAGTGGGACATTATCTCAGAGTAAGGGGTCACACATTTCACAGAGAAATGAGGAGTGGGGGGATTACTTGAGTATGGTGAATCTGTGGAATTCCTCATCATAGAGGGGTGTTGAGGTTAGGTCATTAAGTATATTTAAGGTTGAGAAAGACAGATGTTTAACCAGGGAAGGGAATAGAGCACTACAGTAGATCTGAGGATTATCAGATCAGACATTGAACAATGAAGCAGACTCAAAGAGCTGAATAGCCTACTTTTCTTCTTATGGTCTACGTTAATGGCTTACAAAGTTGTTAGGGATTTCGAACCAGTGTCACTGAAGGAGTGGCAATATATTTCCATGTCAGGATATTGGGAGGACTTGCAGGGGGCTGGTGTTCCTATGGATCTGCTGCCCTTGTCCTTCTAGATGGAACAGTTTGAAACCCGTGGTGTTCCACAGGGATCAGATCGGTTGGCGGTAACATATAGAAATGATTCGGATGGGAATGTCGGGGCTCTGATCAGTAAACTTGCGGATAACATGTAAATTGGTGGAGTTGTGGATAGTGAGGAAGGTTATCCAAGGATACAGCAGGATATAGATCAGCTGGAAAATTGGGCGGAGAAAAGGCAGATGGAGTTTAATCCGGACAAGTGTGAGGTGATGCATTTTGGGAGGTTAACTGCAACAGGAAAGGATACAGTGAATGGCAGGACCTTTAGGGGCATTGACGTACAGAGGGATCTTGGGATGCATGGCCACAGCTCCCTGAAAGTGGGTAAGCAGGATATAGCCTGCTTTAGAAAGACTGGGGCCAATCGTAGGTAAATGGGGCGAGTTTAGTTTGGGAAACTGAATCAGCATGGACGAGATGGGCTGAAGGGTCTGTTTCCGTGACCGAGACGAGACAACAAAATGCAAGATTTCCAAGTTTGCTGATAACCCTGGGCGGGATTAGGAGGAGGAGGCAAGGAGACTTCAAGGTGATTTAGAGAGGTTGGGTATGTGGGCAAGTACACAGCAACTATAATACAACATGGTTCAGCATGAAGTGATTCGGAAACTTGGAACTGGACCCAAAACATTTAACTCTGATTTCTCTGTCGAGGTGCTGCCAGACCTGCTGAGCTTTACCAGCAATTTCTGTCTTTGTTTCCCATTCTAACAGGGCTGGACTCTTGCAGATACAGGGAGGAAGTTTCCCCTGGTTAGTGGGGTCTCGAATTAAAGGGCGCAGTCTCAGCATATCAGCTACGCCATTTCGAGCTCAGGTGAAAAGAACTTTCTTCACTCAGTGGGTGGTCACCCTGGGGGATTCTCTCTCCCAGAAAGCTGCAAAAGTCATGTCACTGAATATATTCAGGAAGGAGATGGGTACGTTCTTATCGATTTTAAAGACCACAGGGATATGGAGTGAAAGGGAGAATGTGGCGTTGCTGTTGGGTGATCAGCATCTTCATATCGAACAGTATACAGACAGAAAGGCAGAATGGCCAGCTCCTAGTTTCGATGAGAGGGAAGGAGAGAGCCCCACAACTGGTTCAGACAGAGACTGACAGAGAACTTGTCTGAGACGGGGATCAGATAGAGGAATAGAGCAGAAGAGAGATAGAGAGACACAGAGAGAGATAGAGAGGAACAGTGAGAGGAACAGTGAGAGAGACAGAGAGAGAGACAGCATGAGCAAGGGGTAGAGAGAGAGAGAATGCTCGAGCTGGTCGAGATAGAGAGAATGAGCGAGGAGGTGGATATTACAGAATGATGCATTCTTCCAAAAATCACATGCATGTGTAGATTTACAGACTGCAGCTGGGAGAGAGACGGAAACTGAGAGAGACAGAGACGGAGAGAGAGAGACGGAACCATGAGGAACTTGAACATTCTGGTCCTGACTTTCTGCTATTGCTGTAAGTAAATAGAAACAATTCCAACCTTCTCTCTCTCTCTCTATCTCCATCCCTCACTCACCCTCTCCTGACATGTCCCTAGATTCCCTCTGTCCATCAGTCCCTCTCATTTTCTATCTCCATCTCTGTCTCTCTCTGCTTCTATCTTTTTCTCCCTCTCCCTTCCTGCCCAGCCCTCTCTCTCTGCCTCACTCTCTCTCTCCTACTCTCACTTGTCCACACTCCCTCTCTCTCCATATCTCTGGCACATTTGTTCTCTCTCTCTGTCTCTGCCGCTCTGGCCACTCTTACTTGCCCACACTCTCTCTCCCTCGCTCTCTCTCTGTCTCTCTCTTTCTCGCTCTCTCTCTCTGCCCCCCTTTCTCTTCCCTTCTCTCTATCTCCCTCTCCCTCTCCCTCCCTCTCTCTTCCTCCACAGTCTCTCTCTCCCTCTCTCTTTCCTTCTCTCCCTTTTGCCCTCTCTCTCTGTCTCAGCGCCCCTCACTCCCTCTCTCTCTCTTGCTCCCGCTCTCCATCTCTCTCCTCCCCACTCTGTCTGGCTATCTCTCTCTCTCACTGTCCCTTGCTGTAGCCCACACTGTCCCTTGCTGTACCAGCCCTCACACTGCTCTGCCCCCCCTCTGCAAACACCACAAAGACACTCATTTTGATTCACACAATGAGGCTGTTGTGAACAAATGTTGGAATCTTTGTTGAATAAGCAATGAGCAAATCCATCCTCCCTCAGGGCACAGAGAGAGACAGACAGAGAGAGAGAGAGAGAGAGAGAGAGAGAGGGAGAGAGATCAATATCAGAGAGACCCAGAGAGACAGGACGGGGGTAGAGAGAGAGAAGAGAGAGGGAGACAGGCAGAGAGAGAGGTTGGTGAGGAGACAGACAAGTGTGGGGTGAAGAGAGTGAATGGGAGAGAGAGAGCAGCAAAGAGAGAGAGAGTAATACAGAGTGACAGAGTGAGAGAGAACGAGAAATACAGACAAGAGGTCAAGTCCCATCCCTGTCACTGAATACAGCTCCGACACCCCCTCCCTATCTCTGTCACCTCCTCTAACCTCTACACCCCTCCCTATCTCTGTAACCTCCTCCAACCCCTACACCCCCTCCCTATCTCTGTAACCTCCTCCAGCCTCTACACCCCCTCCCTATCTCTGTATCCTCCTCCAGTCTCTACACCACGCCCTATCTTTGTAATCTCCTCAAGACCCTACACTCCCTCCCTATCTCTGTAACCTCCTCCAGCCCCCTACACCCCTCTCTATCTCTGTAAACCCCTCCAGCCCTTACATTCCTCCCTATCTCTGTCACCACATGTGAACCACTAATGAGTTAGGGCGGGGGTGTATGGACTGGAGGAGGTTACAGAGATAGGGAGGGGTGTAGGGGTTGGAGGAGGTTACAGAGATAGGGAGGGGGTGTAGGGGCTGGAGGGGGTTACAGAGATAGGGAGGGGGTGTAGAGGTTGGAGGAGATTACAGAGATAGGGAGGGGGTGTAGAGACTGGAGGAGGTTACAGAGATAGGGAGGGGGTGTAGAGGCTGGAGGAGGTGACAGGGAGAGGGAGGTGTTTAGGGGCAGGAGGGGGTTACAGAACATAGAACATAGAACATTACAGCACAGTACAGGCCCTTCAGCCCACAATGTTGTGCCGATCTATTATCCTACTAAAATCAAACTACCCTGCATACCCTACATTTTACTATTCTCCATGTGCCTATCCAAGAGTCGCTTAAAAGTCTCTAAAGTATCTGACTCCACTACCACTGCCGGCAGTGCATTCCACACACCCACCACTTTCTGTGTGAAGAACCTACCTCTGACATCTCCCCTATACCTTCCTCCAATCACCTTAAAATTATGCCCCCCTCGTAATAGTCATTTCCACCCTGGGAAAAAGTCTCTGACTATCCACTCTATCTACGCCTCTCATCATCTTGTACACCTCTATCGAGTCACCTCTCATCCTTCTTTGCTCCAATGAGAAAAACCCTAGCTCCGTCAACCTTTCCTCAGAAGACCTGCCCTCCAGTCGAGGTAAATCTCCTCTGCACCCTCTCTAAAGCTTCCACATCCTCCCTTTAATGAGGCGACCAGAACTGAACACAATATTCCAAGTGTGGTCTAACCAGGGTTTTATACAGCTGCAGCGTAACCTCACGGCTCTTAAACTCAATTCCCCTGCCAATGAAAGCCAACACACCATACACTTTCTTTACAACCCTATCAACTTGGGTGGCAACTTTGAGGGATTTATGGACGTGGACGCCAAGATCCCTCAGTTCTTCCACACTGCCGAAAATCCTGCCATTAACCCTGTATTCTGCATTCAAATTCAACCTTCCAAAATGAATCACTTCACACTTTTCTGGGTTGAATTCCATCTGCCACTTCTTTGCCCAGCTCTGCATCCTGTCAATGTCCCGTTGCAACTTACAACAGACCTCCACACCATGCACAACTCCACCAACCTTCGTGTCATCAGCAAACTTACTAACCCACCCTTCCACTTCCTCATCCAAGTCATTTATAAAGATCACAAAGAACAGATCCCTGTGGAACACCGCTGGTCACCGAGCTCCAGGCTGAATACTTTCCATCTACTACCACCCTCTGTCTTCTATTGGACAGTCAATTCTGTATCCAGAAAGCCAAATTTCCTTGAATCCCATGCCTCCTTACTTTCTGAATGAGCCTACCATGTGGAACCTTATCAAATGCCTTGCTAAAATCCATGTATACCACATCCAATGCTCAACCTTCATCAATGTGTTTTGTCACACCCTCAAAGAATTCAATAAGGCTTGTGAGGCATGACCTGCCCCTCACAAAGCCACGCTGACTATTTCTAATCAAACTGTGCTTTCCCAAATAATCATAAATACTATCTCTCAGAATCCTCTCCAATAATTTGCCCACCACAGAAGTAAGACTGACTGGTCTCTAATTTCCAGGATTATCTCTATTCCGTTTCTTGAACAAGGGAATGACATTTGCCACCCTCCAATCATCTCGGCACTACTCCAGTAGACAGTGAGGATGCAAAGATCATTGCCAAAGGGGCAGCAATCTCTTCCCTTGTTTCCCATAGTAACCTTGGGTATATCCCGTCTGGCCCAGGGAACTTATCTATCTTTATGTTTTTCAAAATTTCTAGCACATCCTCCTTCCTAACATCAACTTGTTCAAGCATATCTGCCTGTTTCATGCTGTCCTCACCAATGTCAAGGTCCCTCTCACTGGTGAATACTGAAGCAAAGTATTCATTAAGGACCTCCCCACCTCCTCTGACTCCGCACACAAGTTCCCTCCACTATCCCTGATTGTCCCTACCCTCACTCTCGCCATCCTCTTGTTCCTCACATAAGTATAGAAAGCCTTGGGGATTTCCTTGATCCTACCCACCAAGGTTTTCTCATACCCCCTTCTCGCTCTCCTAAGTCCATTCTTCAGTTCCTTCCTGGCTACCTTGTAGATCTCTAAAGCCCTATCCAATCCTTGCTTCCTCAATCTTAAGTAAGCTTCCTTCTTCCGCTTGACTAGATGTTCCACATGTCTTGTCATCCAAGGTCCCTTCACCTTACCATCCTTTCCTTGCCTCAGTGGGACAAACCTATCCAGTACCTGTAGCAACTGCTCCCTAAACAACCTCCACATTTCTATCGTGCATTTCCCTGAGAACATCTGCCCTCAATTTATGATCCGCAGTTCCTGCCAAATAGCATTGTAATTCCCCCTCCCCCAATTAAACACTTCCCCATATCGTCTGCTCCTATCCCTCTCCATGACTATAGTAAAGGTCACAGAGTTGTGATCACTATCACCGAAATGCTCTCCCACCGAGAGATCTGACACCTGGCCTGGTTCGATGCCAAGCACCAAATCCAATATGGCCTCCCCTCTAGTCGGCCTATCTACATATTGAGTCAGAAATCCTTCCTGACATACCTGACAAAATCTGCTCCATCAAAACTATTTGCACTAAGGAGGTTCCAGTCGATATTAGGGAAGTTGAAGTCTCCCACAACAACAGCCCTATTATTTCTGCACCTTTCCACAATCTGTCTCCCAATCTGTTCCTCAGTGTCTCTGTTGCTATTGGAGGTGGGGGTTGTGGGGGGGGGGGTGGTGTCTATAGAAAACTCCCAATAAAGTGACTGCTCCTTTCCTGTTTCTGACTTCCACCCATACTGACCTAGTGGACAAACTATCCTCCACGACCTCCCTTTCCGCAGCTGTGATACCATCCCTGGTTAGCAATGCCAATCCCCCAACCTCTTTTACCTCCCTCCCTATTTCTTTTGAAACATCTAAACCCCGGGACATCCAACAACCATTCCTGCCCCGGTGTTCTCGAGAAAGAGAGTTTTCCTTTCTGTTTGTGTCTGTCTCTCTGCCTCTGATTCTCTCCTTCTCTCTCTCTCTCTCTCTCCCCGCCTCTGCAGTGGTCTGGGTCCCCCCAGGGGCCCTGGGCAAGAGGCCGACCCGCTTCTCCAGCGAGCTGATCAACCTGGGGAGGGTGCGCGGCTGCGAAGGAGGCGAGAGTGCGGAGGAGAACGAAGAGGAGGACGAGGAGCAGATGGAGGAGGAGTTGAGCTCCTGGTTGGTGCTGCTGGAGAAGGAACGAAAGCTGAACCCGGCCCTGGATAAGGCCTGGTCTCAGGCCTGGCTGGAGTGGGCCAGGATGAAAGAGGGGGGCAGCAGTGCCCCGGGAGGCCTGAGGGACGAGCTGGTGGTGGCCGTAGTGTGTTACGCACTGGAATACCCTCCCCCGCCTTTGGGACCCCTTTACCTGGTTTTCAATCAGGCTTCGCGGCACTGCTTGGGGGCCGAGGATTTGCCGGAGGCCTGCGAGCGGTTCAGGGGCCTACACCAGCTCCTGGGCCTGGCGCTGAGGGGCCTGAGGAGGGCGGAGCGGGCCCAGGGCAAGGAGGGGGCACCAGGCATGGTGTACAGGGGCTCCCCGAGGCCGTTCTGGGCCAAGGTGGGAGACACAGTGCAGTTTGGAAGTTTCACCTCGACCTCGGCGAGTCGGGACGTGGCAGAGATCTTCGCTGGAGGGGGAGGGGTTGGGGGCACTCTCTTTCACATCCGCACGGCCAGGGGAGCCTCGGTGGAGGAGCTCTCCCCCTTCCCGCAGGAGAGAGAGGTCCTCATCCCACCCTGCGAGGCGTTCCGAGTGGACAGAGTCGAGAGGTCGGAGATCCATGGCCAGCCCCGCATTGACCTCCACCTGACTTCCCTCCAGCTCTCCGGGGAGATCAGGCCCCGATGCCCTGGGCCCCTGTACCTCCTCACCCTCGCCCTCACCCTCGCTCGGCAACTGTGTTAATACCAGCAGGAAACGGGCACTAATCAACTAACCACCACGTCAATCAGAAATTAATCCCAGGGGTCAGTACTGAGGGAGTGGGCACTGTCGGAGGGTCAGTGCTGAGGGAATGCAGCACTGTCAGAGGGTCAGTGCTGAGGGAGGGCCGCACTGTCGGAGGGTCAGTGCTGAGGGAGCACCGCACTGTTGCAGGGTAAGTGCTGAGGGAGCGCCGCACTGTCGCAGGGTAAGTGCTGAGGGAGTGGGCACTGTCAGAGGGTCAGTGCTGAGGGAGCGCCGCACTGTTGGAGGGTCAGTGCTGAGGGAGCGCCGCACTGTCGGAAGGTCAGTACTGAGGGAGCGGGCACTGTCGGAGGGTCAGTGCTGAGGGAGCGCCGCACTGTCAGAGGGTCAGTGCTGAGGGAGTGCCGCACTGTCGGAGGGTCAGTGCTGAGGGAGGGGGCACTGTCGGAGGGTCAGTGCTGAAGGAGTGGGCACTGTCGGAGGGTCAGTGCTGAGGGAGTGCCGTACTGTCGGAGGGTCAGTGCTGGGGGAGTGTAGAATGTGAGTGTGAGGAACCTCGGAATTGGCCTATCCGGGAGGTTATTTCAGGATGAACTATGTCTCAGGTCTGACACTGTTCCCCTTCGCGTTGCGCCGCTGTGCTGCCTGCTAATATCTTGTGATGTGGAAGTGCCGGTCTTGAACTGGGGTGAACAAGGTCAGAAATCAGATGACACCAGGTTATTGTCCAACTGGATTATTTGAAACCACAAGCTTTCTCAGCCTTGCCC